GTTGGGTTCCCATGGGTCCAAAACTAAATAAAACCCGGCATTCGACTAGGGAGTTACCATTCATAGCCCGAACTTATGGACGCCTAAGCCGTTGCTTTCAAAGTGGGGATGTCCTTACCTTGAGGCTATATTAATCCACTTTCAACTCGTCTACTGCCATCTGTCATTCAGTCTTTTCTTATTTTGCAGCCGCCTGGGGAAACTTCAGGAACCTTTGTTTGTTCACTGAGACATCTAATTACAAAAGGCGACTGAATTAATTTGTTGCTGTCAGGGGGTGCCGTAATGATGACATTTGCTTTCACACCATTCTTCTTCTACTGCCACGTCTCTTTCCTCTGAGAAGCCCCCATCTCAGAGTAATATGCTTGTTGATGGATTTTGACGAGTATTTGTCCGTATTTATCCGTATTTTGTGTGATACGGTAGCCTTATTCAGCAATTCTATTTTAGGAAAATCCTAATCTAATCTTCGCGTTACAATTTTCACATCACCCGGCTGCTAACTTCAATAATGCATTCTCAAAGCCGTGATGAATTTCACGAGGAATTCATGCTCCCTCTGAAGGTGAGTAATGCGTTTTTCGAAAAACCTAAGCATATAGGAAATCAGCTGTTTGTTATGCTGAAATGGAATTTCCTTCTGATTATGTGTTTCAAGTCGGTCTTGCCTGTCTCTGCACAGTTCCTCTCTCAAAATCCTCCTTAGGGGCATTCTGACACGGATTTATGACAGAAACTAGCGGGCTCAGCTTTCTGATGCCGAATCCTATGATATTCACCAGGTTTTGTTGTAAGTAGCCATTATAACATAGTGAACTCCCCACAAAGTAAGTCGCCCCTAGAGCGCACTCCTCCCTTCTACCTCGACTGATGAATTCGAAGTGGGCACCCTTGATGGACTCGTGAGGGCTGATAGCATTATCTTCTCGTGATTTTATTTCACACCAAATGTTCATTCCCCTACTTCCTGGACCAGTAGTGAATACGTTCGGTCAATCAGATCAGCAAAATGGTAAGGGGAGATAAGCTTGGGCTGGCCAGTCCTTTTTTCTTTTCCAGTGCAAACCACAATCAGAATGACATTGAATTATTTGAGCATGAGTGGTTTCTGGAATTTCCTTCTAGGAGGAACCGGTGACTGCCAAGGGTAGCACGTAGGATACCAAAAGCGGCTCATGAGAGCTCCAAAACTGACCTGGCCCTCACACACACCTAAAAGTGGCGTGTTATGACCGCCTTGTTCGCAGTGCACCATTCACAAGGAAGCGTTAGAACGCCGACGAATAGTACCCGATGTGGGAGACACCCAGACATTACAGACATGAATCTCGTACAACCACCTTTCTTACTCTTCAGGACCTTTGAAATACTTCTATTTTTGTGCTTTCTTTGTCATTTTTGCTCTAGAAGGCGCCATAACTCCCATTATCTTACTTTTGCCAAATACCTGATGGTGAAACCTATCCTGAGCTGTGGCTGTGTAACCAATTCATAAGTTCACATCGGACAGAGTCCGCTATTCTCAAAAGTGACGCATATTATCAGAACCCCATTGTTTACTTTATTTGCTTGCACAGTGTTAAAGAAGGAGAAAAAGGCACTTTTTGTTGTTGTAACGGCTTCGAAGCAGACTTAAAGCGCCTGAACAAGATTTACGAATTCTGATGAGATTCTAGAATTGCGCATTTCATCGCACACCTTCTTATCTGTCGTCCATCGATCGAGGGAATTGCCCTTGAAGGTGAACTGAAAACCTCTTGGAGTACACTTTTTTTTTGCCCGAGGGGACAAGGGAAAGGGGTTTCGAGGGGAATTGGATGATTTGAAAGATCTCAATCAACCAACTGACCCCACTATGTAAATACTCTGGATGCCGCAGCTTTGCATAAGTTTTCTATGCCAAATTAAATCTGACTGTATCAGCTCAACAGACATCCATCCAACTATTTACTCCAGCAGTTACAAACACAGCCGGCCTTGAATTTTTTTCGCGAATTTTCCCATTTCTCATCAAAAGCGACAGCTTCCTAAGCCTATATTGCGTTGAGTCAATCAAAAGAGCACAACGGTTCCTAAGCAAGCGTATAAGATCGTTCTGCACGTATTGGCCCTGAGGGGGAAGGGCCTAGGCGAGTAGCTTTCTGTGAATATAACTTCATTTTTATTACCAAGAAGTCAGTTCACGAAACTTTCTCATATTCTGACCATAGCGGTACATCCAGATCAAATTGTCGCAAACAATAAGGCTTCCTAAAACTAATTTTGCGAGATTACCATGAGGAAAATGGCAGGGAAGGGATATTTGGACGAGATTTCAGTTGTTACAATTGCGTAAGGAGCTGTCTACATCAAGCCACAGATGCCCAAAATTCCCTTCCTGTCGCCAAGGCTAGAAACACCACTGAAACTCGTCTGCCTTACAGCTGTTACCTCTTTGATCCCTTATAACGCCCTATCTAGCCAGTTTTCCGAACTGACAGAATCGTATCCG